AAGTACAGTATATTATTCAAAAACGTTTGATATTTCTTTGTTCGTTGTCACATGTTTATTTATCGTATTGTCATGTACAGTTAGCAGCGTGTGTCTGAGTCGAGCCATTGTTGTATTTTATTCTTATGTGGCCGTTAGCACATGTTGTTTTAACAGACAGCAACATTGAACAATAGAGCCAAGTCAACAGGCGTCGGCACGGTCCTTGAAATCAGGTTTCCCGCCGCCGTGCGTTTGGAAAAGACGCCGCGCCGTGGCTCATTCAAATTCGCTAGATTTTTTCCATGTCTTTACCCACGATTTTTGACCGTCAATGTTGACGGTAAGGACTAAAATTTTTACCGTCAGACGGGACAAATTACCGTCAATTGACGGTAAAACGGTCGCTGGCTAAAGCCCTGGGACTGTCAATGCAGGTGTTCTGGGACTCATTGCCTGTTGTGTGTAAAGCTATCTCAATATCATGCAATTCAAGTAGTCCTACATGTAGTGGATCTCTATATAACATACCTGGTCAATCATGTACAAAAATATCTGAAACAGAAACAGTGGAACACCTGTAATATAACTGCCCTGTAAGCAATCCTGACCTACCCTGTGTAAAGATATTCTGAATTGATTATAAAAAACTAAAAAATAAATCAATTATATGGATGACATCCTCTGGGCACCCTGTAACTTATATGAGTGTGTGGGGAAAAACAAGAAAATACGCCACTGTCTCAATGTCGGCAGACATTGGCAACATTGGGGAAAATGGTGAGTAAAGTGGGCTGAAGGCTGTCATTTCTTTCAATCCTATCCCCCCTTGCAGTCTCCTGCAGCTGTTTCACACTTCAGACTCAAAATTCCTGCAGCCTTCCCTATCCTAAAAACTAGGACAACAGGAGGCTGCTCTAGATTTACTACCCAGTAATGGTACTGGAACAGTGATGAATTAACCACAGCTTGAAGACTGGAAACACAAGAAAAACATCTGGGTAGACAACATGTGTTTTGTCCATTTTGTTCAAAAATTAACTGTCCATGATGGGGTTGAGTTATTTTGTCCAATCTAGAATGTCCACATGTCCCACAAAGGAAGAGCACTGAGTAAGCAAGACAGCACAGAGGAAATATGCCCATCTTGATCAATGAGAAACAGGTATCTGAAAGACATAACAGGTATCTGAAAGACATAACTACACAGCCTGGGGCAACACAGTGCCAGTATTTGTTGTTTTACATGCAGAAAATTACTTGCCATCCCTGGGTGCTTGTCCAACCAGGAACACATGTATTCAAATGCATTTCAAGTATTACGTATTATGTCAGAATTTGTGCATTTTTCGGTTCATAAAGAAAAACGAGTAGGTTTTAAGGGAACTGAATGGTATTTGCACACACACACAAGAAGAACATTGAATGCTCCAATACCCCTGACCTTTACTTCAGAAAAAACAATCCAGTCCAAGTTGCTGAATGCTTCTGATCGATCTCTTACTTAGATACTATAAATCAGTTATACTGTTTCTTGGATTTATAATAGGATTAGAAAATATCCAGCAATGGGATAAAAATTAAACAAAAGGCCTCCCATTCTATGTGTAAACATCCTCCAAAAGCTGAATAATCAGTAATGTTACATGCATAATTTGCACCATTGAATTAGCGTCAAAGTCCAACAACAACATATTTATCTTATCAATAGGGTTGAGTAGTCTTCACAAGAAGGTGGGGGAAACTGTATAAAGAAGCCTTATACTGTTTCTAAGGGTTGACATTCTCTGACCTGGGCCGCCACGCAATCAGGCTAAATCAACTGTGTCCCCTCTCCAATTTCCCCCAGAAATATTCAGTGGGTGAGGTCACATCTGACACACTGGATTAGCCTGAACCAGCCTCCAAAACTGTAGCAGCCAGCAAGGAAACACAAAAGCCTTCCTACAGTGTGTGATTCAGAAATCTGGTGAGTAAACACCAGCTAAATACACAAACGAGTTTTGTTTTTTTCCTTCCTTTTTTTTTATTCTCGGGTTGGTCCTTGTAAGCAAACAAGTCTTGAACCAACCCTTTCCTGTTGGATATACTACAGTAACATGTAGATGTAGGGTCCAGCATGTTTATGTGGCATTTTTGTAGTTCTAGAGACCCATGCTTTTATCTCGTTGTCTCCCCCTGCGAAAATGCTGCACAAACATGCCGGACCTACATCTGCATAATTTTAGGTGTTCAGACACACAGGATTGACCCATGGCATGAGTGGCAGACCCCTGTTTATTTTCAAGCAACCACTGATAGTGAGGCATTTTCTCTATTTCTGCACACCAATACAATACTTTCCCCGGTCATTTTCTGCGGGTACATGTGCCTGGGATCTGTAACTACAAATTCGCAGGAAAAATCGTCCGATTTGAGGAAAAAAGGGCGATAGAATGTAACGTGGAACACAGGGTACCCCCTCAACTGGCGGGCACCCTCTCGTTTGCAGCCCGTCCCAAACCAGTCCCCCTGCTTCTGGGACACCACAGCTAAATATTATGTTGAACGACCTACACTTCTCATACAGTGATAGCATTTTTTAAAAGTGTGGTGTAACTTAATGGCTGTACAAATCGCGCTGTAGCAGAGGAAACTCCCAGGAATGTTGGCCTGGATTGGGGAACAGGGTCGACTGCGATCGGCACTCCTCTCTACCCATAGCTACAAACGGGACGAGGGGGTCGACTCCCCACTCCTGACGATTTGAGCTCGATTGCAGAGCGGCTACAACATCGGAGTAGCGTACATGAGACGGCATGGGTGTACTTACACACTAGGGAAGTTAAATGACCCACAGATAAAGCAGAATAGTAGAATAATTGGGATGAACTTACCGAGAAGTCGGGGTGCTTCTGATCCTCCGGTTTGTGCGAGACAGCACGTATGACCCCCGATTTCCATTCCCATTCCGAAATCCTCGAAAATTTCAGCTTCCCTCCCCCGGATACGCACAGGAACCGCTTCCCTACGAGCTCCTTACGCTCCTCCATCATCATTGCTAGGGAATCGGTGGCATATTACTCCGGGAACGAGGAAAATGTGAGGATAAACGTGCACTTTTGAGTACGGCTGTCCACTGAACAGACACACTTCGGCGCGCACTGATCCAGTCTACGCACCACGCAAGCCGTCTGCGTGTGACCCATCTCCTTCCGCGTGTACTAAAATATTTGGAGAAAGTAGTACGTATTGATCGCTGTGTTTCCTGAGGGCTCTGAGAGGGGATTCCAGTATCTGTTAAAAATGAAAATACTGTAAACACCATCGTATCACAAATGTCGGAATTCTAGGAAAGGTGCTTTGCTTCACTCGTAAATACTGGTAATTAGTTTGGTTGGTTGGTTGGTTGGTTGGTTGGTTGGTTGGTTGGTTGGTTGGTTGGTTGGTTGGTTGGTTGGTTGGTTGGTTGGTTGGTTGGTTGGTTGGTTAATAATTGGTTTAACTGACTGCTTGCAACATCCCCTCCCTCCAAAGGGCTACAAACCTTAACAGCAACTGTACATAACGTTACACGTTAATTAAATGTTCCTTACCAAGTGTAACAGTTAATCTATTGTTAGGGAGGAATTGCTATTTTGCCATGTTCGATTACATAAGGTTACTCCTTCTTGAAGGTACAATGACAGGGTGATTCAGCTTAATTGATTTCTTGAGTACCCATTACACCCGAGCCTGCATGTCCTATTACGCAGAGTGTAATCAGCTGTTTAATTCCACATAATTCATAGCAGGACCACTAAAAATTTATTAGCATGATTGGCGCCTGCATTCAGAATAAAGCAAAGCCAGTCAGCCAATATGTAGCCACTAATGTTACCTTTCTTATTTTAGCATAGAGCATTGGTGGTTTCCCCCTCATATATAGGCCTCCTTGATTATTTAGATAAAAATTATTGGACTGAGGAGGTTTTAGAAAGTATGACTATGATACCATTGATTGCAACAATAACATGTCTCTCATTTCTAAATGCCAAAGACTGCATACTGTTGACGTTAACTATTTCTGTCAATAGTTCCATCAGGTTGAAAAATGGTGTTCTTTCACAATGCCAAAATTTTCAAACCTCGATGAATCATTCAATAATTATTGTGATAACTTCCTCTGTGTAGCTGCAGTACCGTAGAAAACTGCTTATCAAACTTGACCATCACATTCCCAACCCTAATCTAACTACAGAGTACTAGTATCATAGAAACACACATCCACATCTCAAGTTACAAAATTCCCATCCCAACCTGGCTAAAAATTATTAGAATACATCCCCATGACAATTTACAAAACACCCCTCATATTAGACTGCATACAATACACAACCTTCTCGACGAAGGTAATTAAGATTCAGAACACATCTCGTGTATCCAACCTTATCCAACCACACCGCAGGTCACTAGCTGCAGTACCAGTCTTACAGTAAGATGGCATCTATGAAAGGGAACTCTTATTCGCTGCCTGAAATATAACATTCATAAGGACTCCTTGCCTATCAAAACTTTGTTTTCATTTTGACACATATCGAACCAATTATAACTAATCAAAGAGCTATTTTAGGGTGTTGTGATTTGCAGAAAATATAGGTTGTTTTCCCACATTCATTGGGCACCCAAATCACAGCACTGTGGTCACCTTTATCGACCCGCTCTTACGTCATTGTTCAAAATGGCGACTGGCCGTTGCGTTTTTTAGGAAGACAACTTGGGATTCCTCCAAGGATTAGCTGCGTGTTTTTGCACATTCCCTGAGCATTTCCCCTGCTACGCTGACCCGATGTAGAATCAACTAGTTACTTCGAGAGCAAGAGAAGCCATGGTTTCTGCGATCATATCCCGGTTTGTCGTGTAAGTACCTGTCCTTTTGCCCTAGCCTGCCGGGGCTGTACATGTCTGGATGGTTTGTTTTCTATCTTTGGTCATTTGTCTCTGGGCGCTACTCATATTTCGACAAACCCAAAACGGTACATTCTTCAAACCCCACATTCATCCTTCTACCATACAGTTTAATTAACGTAACGGTGGCTTTCCTTTGCGTCGAAAGCATAAACACTGCGAACACTAAGTGCAAGCGGTAAGTGTATCCCGGATAATTTGATCGGGTAGTTCGTTTGTATTCTCCAACCGTACTTGTGTCTAGTGCCAGCCACTGCGGCTCTGTGTGCGTGTGCAAGAAAACATTCCTCCGCCACGACAAAATTAGAACGGCCACCTCGTTGGGATCAAATTCTCAACGTTACTGCTGCTTGTATGGTTTTGAACTTTTCAGTTAGTGTACATTTGCCACGGGTTGGGCTGGTCGTTTAAATCATTGTTGGAAATTCCTTTTGATGTTAAATACACACATCGGACTAAATTTAGGTTTGTGAAAACAAATCAGTGCAGCCTGTTGGTCAGTAAACTGTCCCTTCCACATTCAACAGACAACAACAAAAATCTTCTAATATTGTTTATCATCCTTAGATCTATTGAAAGGCTGAAGACAACTGTTGAAGTTGAATAAAACTGGAATGTGGTTCTTTTTTCTCTTTCATCATATTCAAACACATTCTACATTAGTGAGAGAATCTGATCTGTAATATATACCCCCATTCCTTGGCTCTTCATACACAGAATTCAATATAGGGATCTAGTATTTATAAGGCTTAAATTAAAATGTATTTATTTAGAGTGAAGGCAATCCAGGGGATGGTAGTACATGTACATGTGGTACATCTCAATCAATCATTCAATCAATTTCCATAATCTGTTGTGATGCAAATATTGGACAAAGACCTATCACTCCAACTATTAAGTTGGTGTGAACTGGCCCTTTTGTCACACAAAATTTGTAGACCTTGCATGGCTTCAGCAGTGACATTTTGTCCTGTCTTTGAATTTGCTGTTTCTGTTTGTTGACTGGGGAAGGCTCTAGCATATACATTTGTGTAGTTAGGAATACCAATTTACATGTACACAATAGTGCCCCTGTAACTGTTGGCTATTGGATTTGACTATTACAAAGCATCTCTAATCAGTTTCACTTAATCATGGCCATCTTCATTACTGACTATTTTATTGTCATTGTCATTGTCATTATTATTGAGTGATTTGTTCTGGTCTATTTTTACTAATGGCAGAAATGATTTTGGTTTTGAAATCATTTCTTCCACTAAAATGCTGTTATAACAAGCATGTGATGAAAACTGCCCTGGAAGTTGCTCTATTTTAGAGCAGTGCTGCCAAGTGCAAACTTACAGGACACGCGTTGAGGGTATCCAGTTGCACCATGGATAAAGTTGACATTGCATCTTGGTTCTCATGTGTCCTTGAATTACCTGTTATTACTCATAATTTTGTCAGTGAAAAATAAAAAAAGGCTTCATAAGGTAATGACAAATTAAAGATTAGTATTTTGAAGAAGAAATATTAGTAGTAGATTTGAGTGTGATGTCATCATGTGAAATTCTCCTAAAGCTAAGTTACTAATGTTGGGTGAGTCAGACATTCTGTCAGTTAGGAAGTGACGTGGGACTTTTACTGGTCAGGCAGGGAAGGGCCCAATCACTGAATCAGTCCTTGACACTGACAGTGAGAGATTGTGTAACACAGGCTATAGCTTGTTGCATCCTAGTTTGTAAATGTGTACCAAACCAAACCAAACCTGGAACAGCCTGAGTTACCTTTCATTTAAACACCAGTTTACCATGTCACTAACCTGATGTCATTCTCAATATCCTAAAGTTTGTATGATGAAGAGTATTATGTAATGTGATTGATAACATGCACAGATTGAAAATTAATTTTGAACACCTCAGTCTTTGAAGGATTGAGGGTGATTGATCTTCACACCCACTGAAGGGTTGTTTTCATTTCTGTGACACTAGCACCCCTATCATTAGCACCTGAGTGGAAGTACTGGTCATGCAGGATACCCTGGCCTGCTTTACATACGTCTTTTTATGGCAGTCCAACTTGTTCTGTTTTTATTGTGTCAGGGAAATTTTGTAGTCTCGCAATGGTTTTGTCCTGAGGCACATGTAAAGACAAATATGTCTGGCTCACAATATTGGGGGGAAAATAGAGATCAGGGTCATATCCAAGTTAGCATAATTTACCAGTAAAATTGCCATCATCACCATTTTTGTTAATGTTGTTTGGTATTCTGTTTGGATGCTTTTGGGCAAAACAATGTAAGTACACCATGTTAACAGCTATGACAGGTTCTGGGATACAGCAAATATTATCCTGTGGCAATGACGTGCCATGAAACACCATTGGGAGTCCACATAGGCCTATGGTATGTACAGCAAAAACAAGCCAAGGGCAGAATTCCAGCTAGATGCTACCTCTCCCTATTAAGTTTTGTAGCACAGATGTATTAAAATATTAGTAGACTGGTTTGATAGCTCATATCAACAACAAGACACATGTCTCCTGGCAAGGCTGTTTACAGTAGGATCAGTCGATAAAACCAGTTTTCAGCCAACAAGTTTTATCTCAGCCATATTGCTCATAATTTTGAGGTGAAGAAAAATAACCTTACTGGCCTTACATCAAGAGTCAAACTACAAAACTGGAACACTGTCTACTGCACCAAGGGTAGTGTTTTTCATCTTTATTCAAAGGTCATGATTCAATGTTCATACTCAAAAAAATGAATCAGTTTGAACGTCAAGTCATTTCAGAAATTATCTATCCGGATCGACAAATGCATTCACACTGCTCTTCACCGATCGGAATGGCGTCCGCACTCAAAACGGATTGAAGAGTCACATGACTAAAGCCCACCATCTTGAATGTTTACTTAAAGCTGCCACAATGTGATGCTCAAACCAATTCATTTTTTTTAGTGTGATTAGGGTCTTTGGGTGTTTCTCAACACATCACCCAGATATGTGTAAAGTAAACACAACACTGTCAGGGTATCAGCATAAATATCAGGAAATTTGACTGGTAAAGTGGACCTTTGTCTTCACAAGTCACATGATCCTCAGAGAACAGCTGTTCTATTGTTTACCCAGGTCCAGTCATTCAGGTGTCACCCATGTATTTATTACTGTAATCTGGGTGGGCACCCTAAAAGGTGTTGACCTAAAAAGTAAAGTGCTGCATGACCTAAAGTTGTGTTTGTATCGGTGAGCCCAACAGATAAAAAACATTCAAGTAAGGATATCTTACAATTTCAGCACGTAATTGTTGGCACCCCCAATGTTAACATTGCCAGTCCCGACATAGCAACATCCGACATGTAAAGTGGGCCTAATTTTTAGGTCAGTTTATATAATGGGACCATCATACTTGATTACACTATAGTATTAGTATTAGGCCCATAGCTAAGTAATTGCTCATATCTCATATACCATAGTGATGATTCTGGAGCTGTAAAAAAAATACATGTATGTTTAGAGTCTTCAACATGGGTAACATACCAGGGGTATTACATGTGTTAATGTTAAAATGTTCGTCATGTGTTGTGTGATACAAACCATTTGGGATAGCTGACAGGATCAGTAAATGGTTGTACGTTGTGTTAAATTTTTTTGTTGAATCTTTGAAACATACAGTGTGTACTAAGAAATTCCTGTAGCAAATAAATTAATAGGGTTCTAGTAGTATTTGGGTACCAGGTCCCAATCTTTCAAAATAGCCTCATTATGAAGTTTATTGGCATCATAATCATGATATATATTTTATGATCTACATCATGTCCACACAGAAAAAAAGCAGTTACTCAAGTCTTTGATTTGAGGCCCCAACTAGCATATTACTGTTGCCAATAGGACGACACACATGTTTGTTAGTATATGCCACCAGAGTACAATAGTCCTTCAGTCAGCTGGTATGAAACCCTTCAAATGTATCCGGGAGGGTCTCAGGTGTTTCAACATCTCTTAACAAAAAGCAGGAGTGGACATTTACTGGAAAATCAAATTGCCAGGTGCTTTGTCCAAATGGGTTAGACTCAGAGAAGTAGGATAAAAGGAAAAAAATGCCACAAATTCTGTCCCTAATAAGTACAAAGTTTGCCGTCCATAATGTCTACTTATGTTTAGATTGTGTACATACATTTATTGAGATATGCCATGATTGAGCACCAGTGTAGGTATGCAAAAAAGGTATTTTGAGCCCTATATTATTTTCCAGTACTTTCTTTGACAATACACATCTCATTAGTGTAACCAATATAATTGTATTGCACCAAATATGCTCCAAAAAAGAAAATTACATGTACTTTATTCCCTGAAGAGACCTAACATTTTTAATGATTTTCTGTGTTTACATTCAACAGTTACCTGTCAGTCCCAAGGGTCTGGTAGGGACTCACTTAATTCATATATATGACAAACAGTAGTATATTTTTTTCCCTAATAATTCTTCTTTCTATGCACCCTGCAGGCTTTTATTTGGAACCCTGTATCCAGCTTATGCATCGTACAAGGCAGTGAAGACGAAGAACGTACGAGAATATGTGAGTAGCATTCAAATTCTTCTATATTTTGGCTATAAGTCATTTATGATTAAGATTGTAAAGATGTTAGTTATCCTTATATATTTCATCGTAGAAATATAGCACACTTAGATTGATGTGTTATGTTGAAATGCATTAGGACACAGGTATTTTCAAGATCATATTTTAACTCGAGTTCTGTATCCTCATACCTTTTCCAAGTAATGTTAACCTTTACAAATGACATATCTTAAAGGTCCTCATTTGCATAACTTAGCCACCCAAATAACACCAATTTTCCAAAGTTTGTAAGTCATAATAACTTATCAATGAATAGATATTTCTGCACCAAATTGAGGTATATGCCTACTTCCATGCTTTTACTGAAATCCACTTCCATGAAGACATACGCTAAAAGCATAGCTACCCAGGAGGCACACTTCCCCTTTCCAAGGTAGAGACCATCCAAATGGAAAGCTCTAAATTGGTCCCCCATCTTGGCAATCTGCCACATAGCCGCTGGCAAATCAACCCCACCTGCTTCAAGCCCTTCATCAGGCTGTAGGATCTCTGATGGGGTTTTCAGACAACTGGATATAGCAAAATTCTAGATTGTGTCACTATTCAATATTGCACTTTCTCTGAAAGGTGTCAATCAACATATAATATCTGATGAACATCTACGAGAATACCATAAAGGCAAGGAGTGTTGCCTGGCAACCAGTCTTACCTGACATCTATTGTATACATGAATTAAACTTGAGCTTGATAAATTTACTAATAGGTAACTCATATCCTTCCAATATATCCAGCTTATCTTGAACTTGGAGTTCATTAGTCACAACTTGACACAAGTGACGGCTTTCTTGATGTTGATAGATCCTGACTTTCAATCAAAATTAGCTGTTCAATCAATGAGAGAGTGGGTGCATGTACATCGGTTTTATTTACATTTCTATACCACATGTACTTTGCTTTGACAGAGGGAAGGGCGAGTTTATGAATAAAACAGGAAACAAAATTCTTCCGTGAACTGTCAATGATCATTGCATTCAAGAATGCAATCTGTGGCAAACATAGAAGCTTCACACATGCTTTAACCATGTCCTCATACCTCTGCCGAATGAATGTAAATACAATACAATTCAGAGCATGTTTTAGACAAGGCTGCTATCATAGTTGTAGCTCCTAGTTAGTGAGACCCTGGACATGCCTAGCCTGATGACTTATCTGGCATTTTGCCACCACCATGATTGGATGGGCCTGAGGGAAAGGGTGTCTGAATCTATCAGTCAGCACCATCCTTTCATTATAATGATAACTTGCCGGGCTCATCACGCGATAGCAGCTCTTCCCCACTCTCTAGGATAGCAGCAGTGTTGATGCTTTTTCAGTTAGGACCCTGGCAATGGTGTTACATGTAGAATCATATCTGTATCATTATTATTTTTACTAATGACCTTTAGTAGTTTGCTAGCCCCGTTTTTGATTTGACATAGCCAGTTTTTGATTTTTAGGTGAAAACATATCTGACTCTCTGTTGAGATTGAAATCGGGTGACCTTCTGGCGATGAACAAATATGGCTGAAGGTTGTTGACTATGTAACGCCATATATCATCAATCTTTAAGCAGATGTGGAATGCAAAGTCACTCCCTCTCTGATAGTCAATCGTTACCTACTCAAACCTAGTTAGGAAGTAGGTGCAGATGAGGCAGGCCATGTGGCAGCAAGCCCTGCATGGGTCAACTGTGCAATTTGCTACTTTTTGACTATTAATAAACCAATATTCCATTGCCCCTCCCACCTCCAGATAAATGTGGACATGCAAAATGATAACATATAAAAAATGCAAATATTTGATGTACATGCAGACAAGTTCTCTCATTGATCAAACCATTTATTGTCATGCTATCATTGGTTGAACTGCTAATTGCCAGAATAGGTCTATTCTACAACAATATGCTTGTATGCTATGTCTACTACAGGGTTTATTCCCAATCCGTGGTCTTTCAATTTCAGGAGCAGATTTAATTGTATTCCATGCTGGCTTTGCACTAAATCAATATGCATCACGCTGGCTTTAATGAGCTGCAATGCTTATGCGGATAACTAGATGGTGTTGCTGTATAATATCATGAAAGCAAAGAAAACCCTGACTTGTCTTTGTTGTCTTTGCCCCACAGGTGAAATGGATGATGTACTGGATTGTGTTTGCCTTATTTACATTTGTGGAGACTTTTGCAGACGTCTTCATATCATGGTAAGTATGTGAATATTATGTTTTTGTGATTGAGGCCACACCAACACATAGTTTGTTAAGAGCTGCCACTTCATTTCTACTGATTTAAAAAAAAAGAGTTCAGAGACCTTGTGCTTCCATGAATATTTAGAGGTTTTGTAAATTTTGTTATGTTATTTTGATAGAAACAAAGAATGGTAGCCAGGCATTTTCAAGCCTAAGCTGTATTTTCTCTTCCAAGTTATTTGTTTTCATTCTAAAACGTAAAAGATATGTCACTGTGCCATGTGTCTTTTCTAGGATGCCATTTTACTACGAGGTGAAGATAGTGTTTGTGGTGTGGCTGCTGTCTCCATACACGAAGGGGTCCAGTTTCATATACAGAAAGTTTGTACATCCAGCAATGTCCAAGAGGGAAAAGGTATGCTGTACTTGTTCTGAAATCTATGTAACATTTGAATTATATATTGCTTATATATTTTATATTCAGTATTTTAGCTACCTTTTAGGTGGTTAAATGGTAATGATGAAGTCACCTTTGTAAGTAACCTACAATGCCATAGGGGCAGTGGGTCTGGAGTAACTTTTTAGGTATATTGCTCACAAAATATATATTTTGCCACTTGCAGGAGATTGATGAGTACATAGCGCAGGCCAGTGAGAGGAGTTACGAGACGATGGTGAAGATGGGGAAGAGTGGACTGAACATGGCGGCAACTGCTGTTGCTAAGACAGCTATCAAAGTAAGTCATTTGGTTTAATCATGCAGAGGTGTTGCCCCATTTGGTTTGTCAGGTTCCTCCTCTGCCCCTATCTGAACACTTTAGTCTAAGGGGTTTACCTGGTAAATCAAATGAAATAGCATTATTAGTTGTTTGAAATCTTGTTGATTTTGGGGTTCCTTTCCTTTAGAATCAGTTTTTCTACAGTCATGTACGTAATTCTCTGCAAACGCTTTGTTGCAACCTTTTATGCTCCCTGCGTGGCAATATTTCTTTCTTTACCCAACATGCATGAAAAAGTTGATCGGGCATTTCTGTTCCCCCTTTCAGATCCTCCTCCTTCCTTTCTTTCTGACCAAAGTAGCTTGGAGACAGGACCCAGAATTACTCAGATCCGCCTTTTCTTGGGACACTTCATCACAGCACTCGGATGCAAATGTATGCCCTCGCCATTGATTCTGTTGCTTCTTGTTGTTTCAGTTTGCATGATCTATTGTGTCATGTTCCAAGCAGTGGCACCCTATGACTTATAGTGGTCTACGTCCTACTAACCCCCCTAAATTCTTTCACACAGTTCGCCAAACTAAGGCACCCTTTCCAAGTACCTTGTGTTCTTTTCCCAATTGCTTCCAAAGCTGCTTTGTTAAAGCTAGGAGGAGGACAGACAAGAAAATATTCATTTTTCTTTTATCTTTTTTGTTTACATTTGACATTGTCCCTCCTTTTGTCATTAGAAGAAGCCGTCCCTTCCTTAACTCCGTGTGGGAGAAAATGCACTCCCAAGATTGCAGTGCTTTTGTTTAAGTAGAGTTTTCATCTTTGGAGTCTTGAAAAAGGGGAAGGGCAAGCTTTTGGTTGCATGGTTTGCCTATACCTGTCTCATTTGTATGTTCCAGGGTCAGCAGACAATAACAGAGCGGTTAATACGCGGGCTGAGCACACAGGACCTGAGCACAGTCGGACGGGATTCCAGCAGCGAGCGTGACGTCCCGTCTTCCCGCATGTCTGTTAGTGACGATGAAGCGCTGACCATGAGAACCAGTCAGTCAATAATGTTTCATGCATTTAGATCACATTGTTGGCCTTCAAAGGTGCAGTTTCTTGTGAAATTATTACCATATCCCTAATACAATTCCTTTAACATGTTATTTCCTAGGCACTGTAGATAGCAACAGACTAACAGAAGAGATGGAGAGACAAAGAGACAGGAAGGATGGAGAAGAGATTGTGGAAACCAAGTACACCCACATACGGGGGCCACGCAGCATGCTAGAGGAGCAGGCGGGGGGCGAACCGGGACTCCCGCCCACCGGGACATGGCCCCGTCAGCGCAAGTTGTACGACTCGGTAAGTTTGTACACTGTTTATCCTGGTAGGCTGGGACATACGTGGTCTCTGGAATCGATTGCTGCATTTATTATAACACAACATCTTGGCAATACTTTACAAGATGCATCATCAAATGCGGTATTCTGTTGATATCCAAGCAGTTTACCATGTATGTCCCAATTACATACACATTGGTAGATGCTGATTGGGCGTGGTGGTTCGGGAAAACATATCAGTTGGTTTGTTGTCACTTATTTTGAAATATGAGATAGATCTACAGACTAGACATCTTTACATCTTTATGTTATAGTATCTGTGTGTATTCTGTAGGCTGTCCTAGCTATCCTTCCATTCTAAGACTTGACAGTACATGTGAAATACTGATGACTTTCATACCTATTGCTATTACAATATGACTCCTATGTTCTCCTACACCTGTGCTGTCAACCTTTCTTCTTAGAAATTGTTTTTCTTGCCATGTTCTATTTATGGTAATAACATAATACCCTTTGCATTTCCATTTCCTCCCACTTCCCTTAGCTCAAATCTGTTCAGTCCCACCAGTATTCCCTCTGGGCAAATTTGTAATCAGCTTGTGCAGACAAAGTCAAGTTGCTGCATTTTTCACTGGCTTGCTTGGGTGCATACATCCAGCTGAAAACATAGAATTCATGTCTCTTCAAGCACATTGTCTTGTAGTCATATCTTACCACTACTCTTGCCTAAAAAGCTTTAGAAATGTCTATCCAGAAAACCTTTTTTTGCCAACAGCTTGACACCTTGGAAGAAAGAAGACTTAATGAGAATTATTACCACACATACTATACCAGTAATATTTGTAAATTAAAGATACTTTCTTTCATGTACACAATGTATTAGTTTATGATCAACATGAAACAGTAGCTCCATCATGCAGATGGTACATTTACTATTTAGATCTTAGTAGTTGGACTGTTGGAGTATGAAACTCTTTTTAGGATAGTTTCAAGCTTTAGTGCATAGATTGGTCTATACCACAGACTGATGTAGTATGGTAGACCAATCTGGTTTGCTAAAGCTTGTCACTAATGATACTATTCCTCTTCACCCCCTCTTCCATCCTCCACTGACGTCCCTGGGACATGCATGGTGGTTGTTGTGCAGGGGCCACAGCTCCGCAGATCCCTGTCTGTTAACTATGGGACCGATTCCGATCGTTCGGACCGTCTTGATCGGCCCTACCTGTACAGAACCCAGTCCATGTACCTAAGCTCTGGGTACCGCTCGACCCTCCCAGCAACATACGAGGGTGGTGGTCAAGCGGTGGGTACCCCAGCGGTGTGGGCAGCTAACATGTATCGTGGTGGTTGTGCCCTCACACTAACACCGTCTTCACCTTTTTTCACACCTCAGCCCATATACCGCAAATACATCTTCCGCTTTGAGCCTATCAAGTAGCTACCGTGTAGCTCTACCATAGGGGTATCGTACTTCTCTTTTCTCCTATCGCATGTGTGGCGTTTTTCCTCACGGTAGACTGGTGTGGCTTCTCATCCTGGGTCTGGTGTCCTTGTCCAGCTGCTAGAAGACAGCAGACAAAATTATAGTATGATAACCAGGTTCCCCTTGTGTCCTAGTGTCCTTCTCTCAACCCAAACAACTTTGTCTTTGTGACTTTTTGAACTATTCATGTACATGTATGTGCAATGCACACAGTGAAAATTTTAAACCTCAAACCTTTATAACACTGTTGCTTGAATAATCTTACGGTTACGGTGACCAATTGCCAGAATAAATTTATTCACATTTTTTATCTGAAAAATATGTCAATTTACACTTAAGAACTGCATTAGCAACTGTTTCTGAGAGGTCCCTTTGTGACCAGAAATGACCTGTTACAGGGTACAAGTCAGAAACCAGCTTCCAGCAAGTCCAGGAAAGCAGTAAAACCCATCCAAGTAGGTGGTAACCTCCACTTCAAAGCCCTTTCCTTATTATATTGAAGACCATATTGTTAAAGATTTAGATTTTCCCTTATGAATGTTGTGACTATGATCTATGTAGGAACATCAAAGGTGATGCCACATTATCCTTAGTAATCCCTAACTAGGTAAGAAAGTACAAAATCGCAAATACAACTTTTATAGCTATAATATTGAAAGAAAAAGATAAAACGAAAATATGCACAGTGACCCCTAGCCATTGGATATGTTGCACTATTTCCTGCCCAAAAGATTTAAAAAGTTCAGGTCCAAATGAAATATAACAACAATTTTCCAGGTGATAATTGATGATGATGATGATGGTGATGATGATGATGATCTCACTGATGAACAAATTCCCATCAAGCCAGCTCCTACCAAGTACAAGAAGAAGGAGGTGGCAGGCAAAGTAGGTATTAAGATGTCATCACCAGCCTACCAAAGATCTCTAGCAAAGTCAAGGTATTTTTGTTTTTGACTACTGATGATACCTTGGCATATTCTCCCCCATTATCACCTGTAGAATGCTTAGTTGGGAGCTGGTTTCTGCGTAGGCCTTCTGTATGGGCTGTCTGGGACTTTGTTGTACATGTAAAGGTGGACCTCTGCTTATCTGTATAGCCTATTTGTCAGCGCATTTTACACAGGTTTTCAAAAGGACACAGCAAAACTGCATGACATTGCGTAGTTGGATTTGATTGGCTTCACAAACATTATTTCAGAGTGTTAACATTGCAAGACAGCCTATAATTTGCACAGTTAGAAGTTGTTTTTGCTCTGCTTTAGTAACAATACAAAACAGATAAATGCTTTGTTAAGCACAAGAATAAATGATTTTCAAACCTTTACAGTTTTATCAACTATAGAAGTGGAACACCTTTTGAAGTACATTGAATACTTATTAGTCATACTGGTGTAACAGGACAGAATATACCCATAGCCAGAATGCAGTGAGGTAAATTTGCATATTTTGTCATGTCTACCATAAAATACACGGGGACCTCAATAGATACTAGTATAACCAGACATGCTACAGACAGATAAACCAACCTATGCTAAGGCCACAGTTGAACTTCATCCTCCATTTCAAATGTGGCTACAACATTTAAAGTTTAGACCAAATGGACTTTCCTGTTGTGGGAAATACTGAAGTGAAAGGTAGTTAGTAGTTACCATTGTGAATAAGAGGAATTTACATGAACATATATGAGACAACACCAGTTTCAGATTGGGAAGCCATAATAACCACATCTCCCTGAGATAGTTTTCTTTGCAACTTTTTCCCTTGGTCTGTCACTTTGTGCATGCAGCGTAGGAGATCCGAGATTCCTAAGACTGAACCAACAGTAAGTCCTTCCCAGGGTACTCTGTACATGTGGTGACTCTGCATTCATACCTATCACTGTGTGGTGTGCCTTTTTGCCTTTGCACTATCGTTGTTCTTGATGTTACAAAAGTGTGCTTGCTTGGGTTCTTGATGGTTAGAGTTTTGAAGCATTGAATTCACACGCATGCATGTCATCTCATTAGCATGTCCTCATACAATTTTGTTTCTAGAAAGTATTCTTGTCTGAATTTACTACTTCTCAGTCAAATGAAGTCAGATTTCATGGTTTAAGTATCAACCCATAGTACATAGTATATGTAGCATCCTTGTGCCTTTTTGAAGAATTGATATTTTTGACACTTTCTAGTCTTTTGGCAACATTGGCCATTTTGAATATTCTTATTATTGTATTTTTGTTGTAGTTAAAACTAGGTAAAACTAGGAGAATATGTTACCTGGAACTATAATTCTATGTATCTTGAAAAGTCCTACAATTTACACCCAGTTAATAGACATCTTATGGTGTGTAATACAACTTCTGTTGCAGGAGCATCCAAGAAAAGGTCCCATCTATGCCAGAACAAGATCACTTCGCAGAAAGACCAACACTTAACCAACAGGCACCTTCTGCAGAGGACACCCAACACAAACTCAGAGGACCCTGGCCACACACCCACCACCAAAACCGTGGAAAAGATACTGAAAACATGACAAAAAATGCCACCAAGAAGACTGAAACAGACAGATGTAAAGGAAAATCTAGAATTCAACAAAAACCACAATAGAAGTTGGCTAGCATATTTCCTGAGGTTACTGTTACATATGTTACAAAAAAGCCTTAGAAACAGAATATAACAGGTAAGTCTAAAAAAAAAATAGAGGGGGTTAGAAAGCTATGAACAAAACATTGAAGCTTTCATTCTTATCAATGTTTTGAAAGATGATCAAACCTGGTAGTAATCAATGATAATGATAAATGAATAAAATAGGTGTTTTACATACAGCAAGCAATAGTCAGGAATATGACACACACACACACCCGTACTTACCTACATCCTCACCTTCAAACACAGTTAAACAAAAGCTAAAGTCATGCACAATTGTTACCTTATTTATAAACACTTGTGGATAGACTATGTAAATCTTCTGTGACTGTGATTGATTTGTTGGTAAGGCTTAGGAAAAAATATGTTTCCAGTTTGTGGCCTTGATGTGGCCATGATGTTTTTAATCCTGGGGAGAGGTTGGACTCCTTTTCATTAATTGTGACCTGTTGCAGAAGTATGTTGTAACAAATGCATATAAACCTAACACGAAAAGGTCAGAAACTTAATTTTAGTTGTATAATGTAATTGACAAAGGTAATAAGATACGACCAACCAAAATCAAGTTTTTGACATTCTAGACTTACGAGAGGTGGTCAGGTGGTGTGTAGTGGTAGAGAAACTGGCAGAGAATGGGGAGTAATTGACATGTATTGTTGCAATATGTGGTGTGGTGAAACATGTTTGATGTGTGGGTCTTCCAGCCTTATTTGGTGTGTATATCATAGCTTCGTAGCTGGGCCTTGAAGTCTTCTACAAAAGCAATGACAAGCTAGCCTGCCGAAACTGCTCAGTGGAAAAATAAAAATAGCATAAATTGTAATCAAAACACAACAGGAACTATAGTCTTTGTAGGAACGTAAAGAAACTGCTAGCTTTTGCAAAGGAGCTGTTGCTTGCCTACATGAAAACTGGCCCAGCTACAAGCGCCATGTTCCAACAACAGTAAAAGTGCCAACATTGACTGCACGTGCAACGGTTTAAAAACCCTTGAAGGAAAAATAACTTCCTACGAAATTGAAGAACAAAAAGGGATGGAAGCTGCTAACTTTTTATGTGTCATTGTTACATACTTCACCTTGTCTGTTTTCTTCACATTTCTTCACTATTAAAGGCTTTAACGCTTTTAGAATATCTACATTGTTTCAATCTTGTCGTTCTAGTTGTACATGGTGATCAATCCGTGTGTACGTGTGTACAGATATATATATCTAGATGTGGGCATAAGGGAAAGTTCTTGGTGTGCAATAGATATGCTTAAGTATTTCTCCATGTTTGACAGTCTTTTGAAAATCAGACATTCATACAAGTAACATAGATCTATGATAGAAGTAATTATGCTAACCTTTATTAACAGTGTGGAGTGATTTCAGCATATTTTGGTTCAGATCTATGTGCACAACTTTTATGTACATGTAGGTAGGGGTGTGGATTTCATTTATATGATTCTCTACATGTACCTGGGACCCTATAGGTGAACTAAGTTGGATGTATGGATGGTGAAAAGACAAAATCAGGGAGCCCTCATAAAAGTTCTTCATTGATTGGATAGCATCTATGATAAGCCATGTAAATAAGGATTGTGTATATTATCAGAGTACTGTAGTCTTTGTACAGTAGTACTTGCTGATATCTTCCATTGTAGGGACAATTGCGACCAAAGTCCTTCATTAATCATCTGTTTCTGTGAATGAAAAAAACTCAGATTGTTCTGAAATACTGTCAGTATTGATAGAATAATGTCATCTGAAGCGTGCAAGAGGGCTTTGTGCAGCAGACTTTTTGATGTTACATTCCACGCTCTGTACATGTCAAAATGCGTGAAATAACAAGAGCAAGAATATATGATGTAGATTGCACTGTTTTCATATGGTCAGATTTATTTGGCATGATTGTGCATGTCTAGTCTGCATTTGTGTGAATGCATTAGGATGAACGGATTTCCAAATGGTAAAACTCATACGTTCCATACATTTTAGACCCAAGACAAACGAACAACTGAAGAAGTACTAGTATCCCACATTCTGACACTCATTCAACAGATCCTACTAGTATATCTGCTTGGAGATTTCTGCCAGTGGGTTTCTTTATTATTTAAATTATTATTCGTCATCGTACTCAAACGTATAGAAGACAGTAACGTTGATGTCATTACTATCCAAGGGAGAACAAAGGCCTAGTTTGTGGGCTTCATAAATAATATGTTAGAGGTCAAAATCGGAAGGTTCTGCTTAATGTGATTTTACAAGGCAAAGGTAGCTGTGAGTCATCCATATTTCGGCTGATACAGCTCCCCCAGCAAAAATAAACCACTGAGCTCAAAGAAACCAATGAGTTTGGTAATATTTCCTTATAATCTCTTTGTACAGGCAAACGTGAGCCAGTCGCCAGACAAGTCAGCGCGGGCAGAGGCAACTCCACTTGTTTGCCTTGGAGAGGGCATGGGTCAGCATGGGTCATATTTCGTTGCCTCCTCGTTGTTATGGAGGGCGTAGAAACGCAAAGAAGTCGTGTTCACATTGTGTCATAAATATTCCAAAGTAACCTTTTCCATACAAGATACTTTGCAAACCCTGACTATCGATATACGTGTGGTCATCAAGACCGTTATTTGGCTCTAATTGTCGTCAAATTTCGAGTGAAGAGAATTAATTCCTTATCTTGGTAACGTGGCGCTGTCGCCCTCTTGTATTATTGTTTGGCGACGGTCGCCATGGAGACCGGAAGCAAATAATCTGCGCGAAGCAGCTGAGTCCTCCATTTTGTAGGCTTCATTTGGACAGAAGCAGACGTGATTTCTGTGGGTTCCAGTCTTTCAGTACCGATTTTGACATCATCTGTGGTCGTCAAGCAGTGGGAATAACACGATTTTTGTTGAAGAATGCCTGGAAGTTCGGTAGGATCGGCCTCGTCGCTGGGGAGTGCGGGTTCCAGACGGGCGGCGAGCAGGCGCTACAGGACCGTCAACCCGGGAGGCTCCACCGTGGACGAAACACTCTTCGGCTCCAACAAGAAACACAGCAGGCTAATGGCAGAGGCGGTAGATCACCGTTTGAGGAAGAGCTGCAAACTGATCGAAGGTGTGTATTCTGTTTGTCGTTGGAGTTGTCTAACGTATTATTTGCTAGGTCGCTGAAAAGCGTGATGAAGAAATCAATTTGATGGACACTGTTCACAGGTTATGATGTTCATCAATTATTTATAACCATTTCTTGTGATCAGATTGCGATGATTCTGCGTGTATAGACTATCTTGTTACCATGAATTATTAAGATCTACCAAGTATCACATCATATGGATACCCCACTGTAGATAGCGCAATCTCAGCAAGGCAGGAAAACAGCCTTGCCGAGAGCCGATTATGTCAAGAACCAATTTACGATTCGAAAATCAAAGATAAAACTGATAATTTAATGACGCTTCCCATAACTTAAAAGAAACAATTTTCCGGTACGTTTTCTGCTGGTAGAAAATGATATCATATCCCTGCAGTTGTGTTGTTATTCTTACGTTCATACCACAGAGGCCTGGTACTATGTAAACAACACATGTTGCCAGTAGAGACAACATAAACTGCATGTTTTGGAATAGTTTGCACATACAAAAAATGGTATTCTGTATTACTGTATTATTATGTGTTGTCAGTGTGTGTGCCCTGTAGTTGATATTTGATTCAGAAATGTTTTGCAACAAAACTTAGTCTCCAGGTATTTATAGACTGGATCACTCAGACTCGCAGTTGTTTGTTGTTGACAGGCTGTCCTCTGGTAATAACAAGAGTAAGAAGGCAGGAAGGGAGACCATTCAGGTCATCACTAAGGACCTCATCAGGAACCTGATAGTCCCCATGGAAGACCCTTCTGGACAGTCCATTATACTGCACCAGGTAAGGGCATTTATCCTGGTTCTCCCACTGCAATACATGTAACATTACCATCTCTGTTATTAAGAGCAAGAAGTTAGATTGTGTGAATTGTGCTTAACCTTTTATTTCTGTGAGAAAACTAATTTTTTTGTCCTCTTTTGTTGGGATTTATAATAGGGAGAGTTTGAGCGGATCAGGTCTGCTGCCCGTGTCTTGACTAAGGAAGAACGTGAGAGGTTGGAGGAGATGAGAAAGAAGGAGAAGGAGGAGGCCATCGATGCCTGCGCTCAACGGAAGACGTTCATGAAAGTCAAGGACCTTGACCGCAAACAGAATGAGAAGCTTAATGACCTGGAGGAGGAGGCCCAGGAACAGGCACAGTACTTGTTAGAGAAGGCCAAGAAACAGCAGGAGGAACAAGAAGACGAGATAAAGGCACTGAACGAGTTGATCCTCAATGCCAAGTGTCATGCCATCCGTGACGCCCAGATCCTGGAGAAAGGGGTGATCCAGAAGGAGTTGACGGAGGAGGAGAAGAGGCTGGACCTGATGATGGAGGTGGATCGGGTCAATGACCTGAAGCTGCAGGAGGAGATCACAGCACGCCGTAAGCAGGAGCGGCTGATCGGCAAGCAGCAGATCCTGGACCAGATCCAGCAGAACGAGGAGGACAGGCTGCTGGACCAGGAGAAGAAGGACCAGGAGGCTCGACAGATGCTGCAGTACCTGGAGAAGCTTCAGATGGAGGATCTGAAGGAGCTGGAGCGAAAACGGCTGCAGCAGCTGGATATCCAAGTCGAGATCCAACGAGCCAATCAGGAAGCTGACGAGATGAGAGCCAAAAAATCGGAGCAGGAGAGACTCGCTGATCAGAAGGTCATCGAGTACCAGAAACAAAGAGCTCAGAGGGAGGCAGAGTACGAGGCAGAGCAGGAGCGCATTAAAAAGGAGAAGGAGAAGGAGGTTGCACGTCTGCGAGCCTTGCAGGAACGTGCTAAAGATCTCCAGGCAGAGAAGGATGCGCTTCGAGCGAAACGCAACCAGGAGCAGGCCGAGCGTGAGTGGCGTAAGAAGGAGAGAGAGGAGGCACTTTTGAAGGCCGAGATGGAAGAAATGTTGAAGAAGGCTCGAGAAGACCAGGTCATGAGTAAAGAACACTTCCTGGCTGTCCAGGCACAGCGAGAGAGGTCAGAGTTCGAACGTGTGCTGCGGGAACAGAAGCGCCTGATTGAGAAGGAGAAAGAAGATGAGCTCAGGCAACACGAGATGCGGCTAAATCACGCTGATGCAGTCCGCAAGCAGATCCGAGAGAAGGAGCAGGTACGCATCAATGACCGCAATGCTTTCTTTGAGGAGGGTGTGAAACTAGACGAGGAGGCCAGGCAACGCAGGGCAAAGTTAGACGACATCAAGAAGAAGAAGCTGAATGAACTGAAAAATGCCGGCGTTCCCGAAAAGTACTGCGCGGAGGTTGAGCGGAAAATCAACCAACCAGCAGGACTTGAGAAGTTCATTCTTTAGGTTTGAAATGTTACATTGTACAGTTTAGCGTTGGGAAACAGTCCATGTTAATTCCTGAGAATGGTGCAAAGATGCTGAAAACTCTTCCACCATTGTACATTGTATCACCATTGTAATGTGTATATTTGCTTTGTAAGGTATCATATCATAGCAAAATGATTTTCAAGAAACTCTGTAGGAAACTGAAGGAAATCTTATGGAAAAATAGTCAATTTTGTTTCCTTTGAAGAAGATCAGAGAATTCTGCCAAATATCACACCCATCATTACAACAGTTGTTGATGTATATATGTAATATTCATAGAAATTACAGTTTTTCTACGTAGAAGTATTTTTGTTGAGTTCACATGTGATGGCAAGACATACATGCACAGAAATGATACAACTATCACTTCATACTGGTCTTAAATAATAATGCTACCATATGTCAGTTTGTATGAAAATAAAATATAAATGTTGGTAAATATATTGTGTTTGTACCGGTATTTTATATCTCCAAATATTTTCTAGAACATGCTTTTTTCTTATCTGTATGTTAGGAATCCTTGAAATTGAGATTTTGTCACCTGCCCCAGGGCAGAGCAACTTTCAGAGGCCATTCATTGTTGGAGCAATTTTTAGAGGTCCAATGGGAATTGGCCAAACCAAGATGAACCTCCTTGGCCAAACCAGTGTCAACTGTCTAAACAAAAGCAGGAGTAAGCAGGATCTGTACAGTAGTCTAGCTGGTTTCTCAGGTACTCCAGTGGAAATTTTAGTTTCGATATCTTGTGTTCTGGACATGGTACGGTCAGGATTCTTGGGTAGTAAACGATAGTTCTTGTGGTAGGACAGGCGACAAGTTTGCAACTCCTAGCAGCTTGTTCTGGAAGTGCAGAGAGGGAACTGGAGAAAATGCATGCTTTTGGGTGTGCAACTTTATAGTTAGGTATAGACAGAGATGTGCACAATGAAATGCAAATTAGGCAAAATAGGACACCTGCCAAGCTCTAACCCACACACAAATATAAAGCCAATTCATTGAGCCATTCTATAGTTATCTGGAGTGGTTGAAATCTTGTTGACTTAAGCAGACAGACAGAGGCTGGCCAAACTATAACACACTCAGTTAATCTCCATTGTTCATGTTTACAGAAGGGTTGAGCTACATATGTATTAAACCACCATGCCAGGCTACCTTTTTGGGCCCCAGTAGTATGTATGGGGGTAACTTTATTATTGGCCACTGAAGGTTTTCCACTAGTTTAGTTCTCATTTGATCAAGAGAATGTACAGCTGTCTTAACAACAAGGGTAACATTTTAGGAGGGTCTAAGACTAAGCTTAAGGGTCTGGGCCAGGTAGGTTTATTAAACTTGTGAAAATTCATTAATTTGCAAATTTGGATCGACAGGAATACAAAGTTAACACACACACACACCCACAAATAAACTAGAAAATGACACTGAAAACATAACCTTGTCAATAAGCGTGTCTTTGGCCCAAGCACAGCGACTTCAGTATCAGATAAAAGTTATGCAAATTAGGGCATACGTGACAAAGACTGTTGGACGAAGGAATGTAATCGTTGAACTCTAGTTGTAACTTTGTCCACATTACTAATCACGTTACCTACAAGAACCAATCAGCCTTTATCCCGTGACCTCTGGGCACACCCTAGAAAGCGCCTGCGTGAAAGGAGTCGATCGATGTTTGTTTGGATCTATGAGCGCCAGGCACGGTGTGCTACCTTCGACTTGGAATTTTTTTAACGACAAGAAGGCCAGATAGTCTGTAATAAAGGTGAGTCCAACCTCCTTGTGATTCTACCTCCATGGTATAACGGCTCCATACGTTAACGTTACCGGTTGGTGACGTGAGTGGGCATTCCTAGGCTAAGGCACATGGCTGTTCTTCCTTTATACTTAGCTTGTTGTCCAGATGTAACAGTTACTTTAACGTTACATGAAGGTTTCGCTGAGACATACTTAAACACTTCTGGTTGTAAACGAACGCGTGGTCACAGGTGCTATCGTTATAACTTTTTGACGATGGTGAAAAAAAATCCCAAATCTACTTTTAATAACGTTATCAAACCCCATACCATAATTTATCCTCCGTGTAAAATTCATTGCCAATATCTTATGGAATATTTCCAACAT